TATTTTTCTAATAGAATTTGTGACAGATATCAACTGTTATTTCTGAAAGCACGCGTCATCATTTAACGCTGTCGTTATTACGAATTCATGCAATGTGAACATGACAAACGACTGAGAAAACAGATAGCCAGTTACTCTTTAATTATTTCTTTTCGGAAAAATTAACAGCCGCTCCTACAACTGACATACATTTTCCAGTAACTGAGCATCATGGCCAAAGAAATTGCCAATTAAATATTACATTAACCTTATCGACATATCCATCGATCTAAATTATAAACTAAATGGTAAAAAGCCGATAACAGTTATTCCTGTGTTGTTTTATATGCATTATTATTTTAGTTGAATAGCTTATCGTTCAATGAGAGAGAGAGAGTGTGTGTGTGAGTGTGTGTGTATGCGTGTGTGTTGGACATGTAATCGATCAAGAAGTGAGTTATTGATTTTAATTAGTTCTAGCACTACACGTCAAACATTTGAAGTTTCATATAAGAGATTAAATATCTGACACTAATCTTTTATATCTCATTGGGAGGGTTGCAAATGATCTATCATGTTGTTAGAGTCCATTTAGATTTTCATGAAGAAAAACTGACCATAATTCTGGTCCACATTATTTAAATTTCTAATTATGTTGCCACGTTTTCCAGAACGGTGGCTGTAGTTAAAATAAACCAAATCTAGAAGAATCAAAACCTCAAGTTTTGCCTTCAATCAGTTAGTAAAGAGACGATAACTCTCCTACATTAAGTGGAAATATAAAAGTTTAGAAAGGAATGTATATCCCTTTTCTAGTTCCAGTCATGGCTTGAATAAATTTCTAATAAGAAACAAAAACGGCAATCAGTTGCCATATATAAATATTTCCCCCTCCTCCACAGAGTTTATCGAATTTGTCGAATCCAACCGTTTCATATCAAAAGCAAATTTGTCAAAATAAAGTGGCAAAGCAAAAATATTCCAAATATAACATATAGGCATATGGTCTTGAAAGAATAACATTTCTCTTAGGGTCCCGTTTCAAGAATCGCGTGTGCCTATGTTACTGGTGAGAGATAACGGTAAAATGCATATAAATCCAAAAAGCATTGTTACTAATTTTGGCTTGACAGGTTTTTTTAACTTTTGTATTTATAATTAAAGGCTCAAACTTCATGCATGAAAAATATGAAACCTATTCTTTCATACGACGTTTGAGTTGTTGTTTAGCCCATCGATTATTTTAAAAATACTACCACTCTTCTTCAGCTTCAGAACTATCAATCTGAATTTTATCACATTGTTTCTGTACATCTTTAAAAGGTAACATTTACATGAAATAGGTTAAGAATGTAATTGCAGTGTGCTTAATTTGTCTACAATAGCTTAAATAAGTCCTTTCGTAACTAGATATATGTGTCTGTGACAACTGCTGTTGTTTGAAATGAGATGCAAGAAGGTGTAGTTTTTATTCAGTTTTAGAATTTTGGAATAGATGAAGCTGATTATAATAGTCCTTGCACCAGATTTTACAAAGAAACACATGTGAAGATTACGTTTAAACTTTGTTTTAAACTTGTAGAGACGAAATACATATTGTTTAGACTTTTAATCAAGTTTTTGTTCTAATCTGTTTCAGATTACGAGGAATTATGGCGGTTAATTTTAATTATTTAGGCACATAAAAGAGACCTCAGTTAAGGAGATCAAGAATAATTTTGAATGTAATAAAGGTATTATTATTTAGACATGGGTAACATTCTACTGTACTGTCATTGTCGGTTATAATCAAACCTAACGGTGTCCGAAAGAATTTAAGACAAATCTTCAATAGGGATCCATCGATTCTTGTATGCTGATAGATCAATTGGCATTATTTCTGTTTTCAAATGAAAATTACAAGAATTAATCTTTTCGTTGTAGCGATGGTGCGGATAAAATGTATTTGGACAAGGGACCAATACAGAGCAAAGTCGCTTCCCCTTACTAGACAGCACGCAGATAATTAAATATTGCCCATTAAGAAAAAGAAAAATAAGTTTGCTGGGCCTTGACATCTGTGGCTAGTAATACATCTAGTGGCTAGAAAGATGTCTAGTGGCTTGAAAGATAGATCCGTCTAAATTACCCCTTAGGTCCATTATTTCTTCTCGTTTCAGCTTGATTTAAAACATTAGCATGTTTAGTTTTATTACAAACATATGTACCAACAACCCCGTACAGCATAGTACGAAGAGTCAACATTATGACAAATTCTTGCTGGTGTTATTATCACGCCTTTGAAAAACAAATATTGTATTTCTGACAGGTTATGGAAACATGCAAACATTGTTTAAGTTAAGAATTTTACGTTACGTTTACATATAACACGCGTATGTCTATGATCATTTGTCTTTCTTTTTTTATAAATACATTTATTCAGGTGTCGATTGTATACCAATTTACCGATCAGCTTTAGTACCTATTTACCTGCATTCGGATGTCGTACAGTGCAATATGAATTACTTTACTGCATGCATAAACTTAATATATGTAAATTCAGTCACTAATAATTTATATGATTCATCGGGGAAAAATTTAATACACTCATTATTCATATTCGGAGTTCTTTTTCTGGAATTTGTTGATGGCGCTTCCTCTTTGCTAAAACAATTTGTAGAGAGAGAGAGAGAGAGAGAGAGAGAGAGAGAGAGAGAGAGAGAGAGAGAGAGAGAGAGAGAGAGAGAGAGAGAGAGAGAGAGAGAGAGAGAGAGATTTCAGACGAACAATGAAATAGGCATAAATATAGAAATACGAATATTAACAACATATATGAAGGCAAATATATTTCCTAAACGGTAAATCAAAGCATTGCCAAATCTTGTATCACCGCAGTGGCGATATAAAATTTCTTGAACTGATATATTTCAAAATCTGATTTTAATATATTCAGGAAATAAGCCTACCAATTCGGTGTTGCCATGACGATCTTTTTGGAAGTGTTTGCGAAAGTCAGACAGAGCACGATATTGGCTATTTTGGCAAAATAATGAATATGAATTCCGATTTTGGAGCTACACGAGCAGTAAGTTTTTAAGACCCAAAGATGTACAATTTATTTTGAGAACATATCACCTGTCATCGTTGCATGCTAAATATAAAATTATTTTTTTTTCTTAAAAGAAGGTTTGAAGTGGCGTATTCTGTTTCATATGAAATCAAATGAATTCCAAATTAAATCCAAACTTTTTAAGAAGTATCAAAGCTTTCAACTGATTGTATTATTTTCGCATAATCGGAATGGACAAAAAAAAACTGTCACGGTTGCTGACAATTACTGTATTGAGGTTATAAATATGGTTGCATACAAAAGCGCAAACAAGCAAAACTTATTTTAAAAAACCGAATAGTCTACTCTTTACATATAATGACATGGTTTTGTCATAAGCTGCTTGTTTTCCTTTAATTTCGTAAAGTTACATTGAATTGTTTATTTGTGAAAATAATATTTTAATCCTTTTTTCGTTTGTATACTTTTGGGGAATATATAGTATGATACAAATTTCGAAATATGTGTCGTGGATAAATGAATAGAAAAGGTGGATGCGTAGGTTGGAGAGTACTTGCTGTAATTAAATTGGATCGTTTTAGAACATTAAAGTAGGTCAGACATTAACTAAAGTCTTACAAACAGAGCCTTAGATCAAATTAAGTTTCTTCTTCAAAATTGTTGGAAGCAATGTGTAAAGATTGAGTGGCGAATTGTTGCCATTGCACGAGTAAAATATTTTTTAAGAAATCTTTTCGAAGAACTATTTTTTTTGTCATTATATTTTTTTTGTGGAAAACAACAATAGTACTAATATTTTGATTGTGTTACAATGCGGTTAACAGGTTAGACAAATAATCAGATTAACTTTATCGATAAAAATAAGTTCTGAGATTGTACATTAGTTTGGTCAATGCCCTTTTCTTAAATTTCTTTCCAGCATCTTATGATTCAGAGAGTCTCAATTTGTGTAACTCTTGTTTTGTACAAAAACTCAATCATTGTGTGCTTTTGACGAGGTTTGATGACAAAAACAATAATAGAACCTACCATGGGTAACTTCTTTAAACTGATGATTGCAATGAATATGAGCCACCTGTTAGAGTTTAGGATATTTATTTTGTTATTTCGGTTTTGTGATGCTGACAGTGTGGTTCGGTAACAGTCGCGACACCCAAGTTTCTATGGTCGCGTAGTTTCGGTTTTAACTCATCCTAAACCGCTTTGACAATTGTCTTAACAATTAGATTAAATTGTGATGAGCGTTTGAAGTAGCTCAGTAATGAAGGTTTAATAAGTTACTTGATTGTTACCATGTGACTATTATGAGTTTATGATATACTTTGATAATATTATAAGTGACAATTCAGAATAAATATTGTAATTATGTCAGTATAAATTCATTAAATGACAATTTTTATTATTCATGTGCGCTACATAAAATACAGAGTTTCGGTAACACTCCTTACTAACGGGTGCCATCAGAAAACAATAGTTTCCGCTTTGGTTTAAAGTACGGTAAAAGTTTGGTTCCCACATAGAAAGTATTGTAGAAGGTAGGATTTTCAAGATTTTAGATCACGTGACTGACAAATTTGCGGTCGAGTTTGCAAATTTGAGTGTCAACCTTTTAAATATACGAAATATATTTTAATTGCCGTGGCTGAAAACTTATATTACGTTCATATTTAATCTAAAACCTTTTTAAAAGTATTGTCCTCTTCTCTGTGGAAGGTAAAAATAGAATGGCAGGATTATGGCATATTTTCTCAGCTAAAAGTTCTGAGAACGATATGTGTTACCTGTTCTATGAGATACTTGAAAATGCCCAGCAAAGTCACTATAGCTGGAAAAGTGGGTCAAGGTCAACTACTTTTGCCTATGATGAGCATTACTCTCCACAATGAATAAAAACTTTGCCGTTTCAATAACTGTAGATGCTAAGTATCATACAAGCTTAATGCAACAAGTCAACTTCGACGTCTTCTTCGATGCCCTGGTAGCCTAGTGGTTGGAGCGTCCGCATCGGATGCGTAAGGTCGTGGGTTCTATCCCCAGTTGAGTCATACCAAAGACTTATAAAAATGGTTCTAACAGCTGCCGCGCTTGACGCTCAGCATTAAGAGGTTGGTGTTATGACTGGTAGGCCTGGTGTCAGGATAATGTGACTGGGTGGGATATCATGCTACATGTCTTCGGCATGATGCCCCAGTGCTAAATATCACTATAAACTGCCACTCTGCAGTTATCGTAGCGATATAACTAAAAATTGTTAAATCTACGTTAAAAATCATAATCACATAATCATAATCACATCACGTCTTCAACAACAATGACAACATAGTGGGGAATCTTACTCCTATTCTCGCCTATGTCTTTGGCAAGATATAAACCCTTTGGTCAAAGTATCATTTTGTTGTGTGTCTAATTAGAAGCTGGTATTAAAATAATGACTAAAATATCAATCTTACATGTTTGATAATTGCGCTTTAAATTAATTAGACTCGCATAAATTAAAAGATTGTTTTAAACTTAACTGAAAATTGTTTGGCATCACCGGTGTTCATAAAACTTTCAGTAGGAACATTTGAACAGCAGAATATCATTCCGTGAGTTTATCAATATTCTTATCATTTTGCGAAAAAAAGAAAGCGAATTCAAAACAAAAAAAAAATACAAAACAAACATGACTGCAGTTGTAAAGCGTGTGATCTAGAAATGATAGTGGGTTGAATCAATTTGTCCTTTGACTAGATGAAATGATACGTTTAGTCTCTGAAATGAATTTAATATTGACTGGCTCTGATTTATTTTTAAGACTACGACTAAAGAATATGGCATAAGTAGAACAGTCTGTACTGATGACAATATCCATGGTCAGCACAAATTATATTAAAAATATAATGGAAAATTCTTTCTCCTTCACGACAGCATAACTAACCATCTGTGTTTTGCAGGTTCAAGAATGGAATTCTTTTTAGAATATTTTTGTCTTGATGTTTTTCTTGGAGATGTTTAGCAGCTCCAGATAATGTGTCCCAGCTTTTATTCAAATCGGAACTCAGTGCAAAATATCATTTTCCCATTCACCTTCTCCCTGGAAATTACAGACGAGTAAATTTTAATTAACCGTTTTATTCATATATTAATAGGAATAAATAAAACAAATTAACCTAATACAAAACAATTAGCAAATCAAGTGCCATTAGAAAATGTCAAAGGTTAAAAATTAAATAAAAATTTATATCAAACAAAAGTTCTCACTAATATTGTATTGCCTTAGAAACCTCCATGCATATATTTCGACAAAATTTCTAAGTTTGTAGGGCTCAAGGTTCAGGATTTCTTAGGATTTAAACTCTAAGAGTCCGATAAAGAACTTCAGTGCTATCTATACATAACATTTCAAACACCGACAGTCCCAGGCATATATTGTTACGCATTTGTTGGAGTCATTTATGCTCCACCATTAAAGTGAAATCCTGAAATTGACGTAACGTTTCATGCGAAATTTAAATAGGAACGTTATATTCAAATATCACCCAAACATAAAACAATTTGCACTCCTACCTCGCGAAAAGTTGATATAAAAATTAAACTCCTTATATGGCTTGCAGATATAATAAGGGTACATTTGCATATGCAAATTAATTACGGATAGGCATAAGCATTGATTAGGTCATGTGTTAATATATTGTGATACTTTTTGTTTCTTCCACTTAAACATTTAGGATTATAAAACAATCACAAATAGGTTTTGTGTCGTACGACAACCTTTTTGAATCAATAATGTCAACTAATCATGAAGAAAAAACAGCGAGAAACATCGGAAATAAAATCGCTATAGCGAGGGACACAATTGGCTGGAAAAATCCCAAATTAAAAATAAATTAGACCTATTCACAATAATATCTTATGATTTAGTACATTATCCCTTGACTTCCCTGTATTATGAAGTGTACTAATTGTTGAACCAATAATCAAACCTCGGCATTTACTTAGGCTGTAAATTGCTGGACTTGATATGATGAACATATTTCTAGAAACCAAGTATTTTAAAAATAAATTGTCACTTCAATACATGCCTTTTGTTTCACATTTCTGAGCGTCCCTATGTCAAGATCAATGTTGTTTTTTTTCTTTTCATTTAGCCCTTAATATGCTTTTGAAATCTCTATGTTTAGCACTATTTCGATTCATTTAGTTCCATCTTGCTAATCAATAAGATTAAGTAAAACTTTTTATATCTTTTCTGGTTTTGCCCGGTATGTGGAACACAAAGTAGTAGAAATGGAGCTGCTTTGTTATGTTCGGTTGTGGCCTTTTTGCTGTTAGTGCCAGTGAAAAGCAATACATCTTTTATATAGAGCATGGTGCTCATCCACCACACTGAAAACTTGGTTGAGTACATGACACAATAAATCTGGAACATTGCATCTTTGTTTCTATAGTGTGTACACCTCTATGTTTTTGGAACTGCCATATTCCACAATTTGCTATTAACTTTGAGCTATCTTCCTTTCACTATTCATGTACAAATCGTTATAAGTTGTTCAGACATAAGCTATCGCGTGTTTTAACTATCTTTCACTAGACAAATTTAAAATTTTGCAGTTTTATTTTTAAATGCGTATTAAAATCAAAGTTCATTGCAAACTTTAGTTTTAGAAATTAATGTTGTATTTATCATGCTTTACATTTAAAACATATTTTCGGATATAAGCTATGTTGTATTACAATTAAGTTCTTGCTGAATTAAAAACATTCCTGTAATTAAGGAAGCTATGACAAATTTAGTTTTGGGGTCTCAAAAATACCTCGCCCTAAACTTGCATCCGATGACACCCACACTACAAACATCCTGACAGTTGCCACACATCTTGTTTTCATCGAAAATCAAACAGATTTTCTGAATAAAGCTGAGATAATTGTGGCGTGCAAATATAAGAGTTTGATAGAAACGTTGCCCTGATAGACCGAATAGCTTACAATTATTACTACCGGTTTAGCATATATTAGCACCCACGAATGTAGTCCCAGTCTATTTTAAGAACGCTTTTTCCTTTCTCATTTTACAATTGATTCATGTGTCAGAGTTTGGACGTCTTGCAGTGATTAAACGGAAATCGTTATTCTTTAGAATATGAGCTGAACGATATGGTGTTGCTGTCTGTGGCGATAGTGCACAGGAAATAATGAGTCAGTTTTTGGCTTGATCCGAAAATGGAATCTGTGACCCACTTCATGTTGTTTTATTTACAGGAGTCACGGTACTAATTCAACTCCCATAGTAAACATATGGAAACACCATCATATTTAAAATTCAATAACTTAAAATTTCTGGGTACTGATGATCAGACCTATATATTTCTCTATGCACAACTATACTTGGAGTAAGTTTCTGTGTGGAGAACACCATATGAGCCGCGGCATTTTTTTTACCTACATGTGCATGAAACACATGTTATTGATTCTGCTCCAAACGAATCAAGTGCTACTTTCATTATTGACTAATCCTAAGTCAAGTCTTTAAAAATACTAAAATTGCATCAATAGAAATTTGTCTATATTTTTTTTTAAATTACACATAAGATAAGCTTTCAAAAGATATTTTTACTAAAATTTTACTTTTCATTAATAATCAATTATGGACCACCAAACCCGTATATACTCTATTATTTCTTCACCCATTTCTAGACTTGTTCACAGTTCTTCCATATAATTAGTACCGTGTGTCCTACAGTTTAGCCTCTCAGACATGGCGATAGAATATTCAGTTCTGACAACAACGATGAAAACGAAGGAAAACAAATTGTGATCTTAGTCCAGCTGATATCAGACTGGCACTCAGAAATCTTGTTCAGTAGGATGGGTTCTCTGTCAAAAGTTTTTCCAAAGCGAATGATTGCATATAATACAAAAAAATATTGTTTTCAAGACTTCGTTCTTTCTAATTATTTTGTTTTCATCTATAATTGATGGCACACCATAATAGCGTTATATTTTAACAACTTATAAACATTTATGCCAGAATCTTTACAGTCCGAGTGGTTACATTCTGTTTAGAATTCTTTGTGGACAAAGTTATTTATGTAATTTTTTTTCAAATGTTTTGTTAATAACTACAGCCATTTGTGACATAATTTTACAAAATGTGAATGTCCTCTTATAATAGCGTGATTTTCAGCCAACTTTGATGAAATTATGTTCAGCTGTGCTTGAAAAGGAATCGTGTTTTTTTTTTTTTAATTTAATTACAACGGCAATGTTTAATGCAAGATCAACAACGTTTGTGCAGATGTGATACTCCTTTATTCCAGGAACCTTTGCTTAAATGTTGCAGAATTATATTAGGCAACATATAGGAAGCTGTTTAAATGTTATTTCATTCATTTATTCTTTCATGTCATCGACGCTTTGTGTAAAATGGTCGAATTGTAAACAGTAGCTTTAACGAAGTCTTTGAAAGTTATTGTTTGTCACTTTAAGAATGTTCATATTTAATGATTGGTCGGCATCATTTGCATAAATATGAAGCTCTCATGCCAAGATACTTTCTCTTAAATTTAAGTGCATTCAGTTTAGTGGTTCGTTTAGAATATGTCATTAAAGAATAAATAATTTTAAATTATTAGTAACCGTACCGATATTGAATGGTGGACCTGCATAATTTCAAAATCATAAAAGAGTTTTATCACAATGTGCTTTCTGTAAAATAATAATTTAAATTGCATCAGTTTATCAAAAATAATGTAAACGTTTTTCCTTTTTAGTAAACATACAGCTAGTTTTGAAGGTGAATCTGAATACCTTGTGCGAACTTGAACGCCCTTCATACCGGAACATTTCCTGTCAACTTTGGTCATATTCTGTTCAGAAATTCTAATTTTAGGAAGTGGTTTTTTTTTGTTTCCGACTCAACACATCTTTGTAGAATTTTCCAAATTCTTCATGCAATAATGATCTGTGAAAAATATTGTTAAAATTTGTATACTGGTTTTCTTATAAGTTTTAAAAAACCAATCTTGACGGATGACACAATCCAAGAGCAGTCCGAATAAAGCCC